AGCAGCTGCTTCCGTGCTTCAGGCTGACCCTGCTCCGACTTCCGATGCTGTCAATGCTACCACGCCGGTTGCTTTGCCCGACCCAGACAGGAACTCTGCTTTTCTGCAGGAACTTTTGGTACGTGATGACTTCGAAGTCTGGGGCCATCCGGTGCTTTCATTTGACGGATGGTTGGGGTGGAGCGCGCAGGAGTGGCTTCAACATTGGTTTGCTTTGGAAGAAAGCGAGCAACCACCATCGGTAGGCTCCAGAAAGGGTCTTGGAGGTCGGCCGAAGTCAGGTTTAGGGTTTAGGGTTTAGGGTTTAGGGTTTAGGGTTTAGGGTTTAGGGTTTAGGGGGGCTAGGGTTCAGGGTTTAGGGTTGGGTGAGGTCCCTAAACCCTGACGCCTAAACCCTAGATCCTAGACGAGTCCCTGGTGTGCGCAGTGCGGGTGGCAAACCAAAGCCTAAACCCTAAACCCTAAACCCTAAACCCTAAAACCCTAAACCCTAAAACCCTAAACCCTAAACCCGAAACCCTAAAACCCTCAGCCCTAAACCCTAAACTCCTAAACGCTCAACCCTAAGGTTTCAAACCCTGCAGAACCATTGATATCTAGGATGTCTCGCTGCAAAGGTTGCTCGGATCCCTGCATTCAAAAGGTTTAGGGTTTTGGGTCTAGGGTTTAGGGTTTAGGGCTTAGGGTTTAGGGTTTAGTTTCGAGTTCGGCTAGAGAGGCGGTCGTGGCGGGGGCTTGTTTCTTCGGCTTTAGCTTTTTTGTTGGTGGTACTGGGTAGTACTGGGGGGGGGGGGGGGGTTCCCTGAACACGAAAGCCTCAATCCGATCCCCTACAAGCCTGGCACCCTAAGCCCTTAAGCCCCATCATTGTACTTACTAACCAATTATAACTGGGCTTATAACCCTACTTATAAGTGGGATAACCCCTATAAGGCCCTTTAGGGGTATTATAAGTAGGGTTATAAGTACAGCTATAATTGGTTAGTAAGTACCATGAACCTTCAAGTAGACCCTAAACCCTAAACGTTGAGAAGCTTCTGGGCTGATGGGCTCTTGTCAGGCACCGCGCTACCTGCCCGAGGACCTGAAGGCAGATGCCTGGGAGTGCAGCCTAATGTTTAGAGGTTTTAGGGTGACCCTAAACCCTAAACCCTAAACCCTAAACCCTAAACCCTAAACCCTAAACCCTAAACCCTAAACCCTAAACCCTAAACCCTAAACCCTAGGGTTTAGGGTTTCGGGTTTAGGGTTCGGGGTTCGGGCTTTCGGGTGCCGGGTTTGGGGTTTAGAGGGTCCTTATACAAGGGAGGGGGGGTTCCAACGGGGGTGTGCAACCCAAGGTTCCCAAATAGTCCCCACCAGTCCCCACTACTCCCTAAGGTTCCCGAAGCTTCCCTAGTTTAGGGTTTAGGGTTTAGGGTTTAGGGTTTAGGGTTTAGGGTTTAGGGTTTAGGGTTTAGGGTTTCCTAGGCACCTACCCCCCCGTCCCTCAAGCACCCTCTAAACAGTTGAAGGTTGTGTTCTCTCACTTCGGGTTCCTTTTGGGGTCCTTGTTAACAAGGTGCCGATGTATGTACGAAGGGAAGCCAATTTTGAGAACTTTTTGGCTCATGGATTTAGGGTTTAGGGTTCCAAGCTGAAGGTTTGGGGTTTAGGGTTTAGGGTTTAGGGTTTAGGGTTTGGGGTTTAGGGTTTAGGGTTTGCGAGGTTTTTAGGACTTGAAATGGCGTTTTGGCCCTACTCCCAACCCTCCCCCCCACCCCCAACATCTGGCACACGCAGCCCAGCCCCCTCAAGGGTTTTAGGGTTCAAGGTTCAGGGTGCAGGGTTCAGGGTGTTTCGGCGCGAGGGGCTTCGATGTCAATGAGCAGGCACTCCGTCTCCAGCTTTCTTGAATTCGTGTTTAAGGAGCTTTGCATACCAGAAGCTACAGTACATAAAGTGCTCTGGTCAGCTTATTTGCGAGAAACTCACAGGTCGTGCATACGTGCAAGCCTTAGCTTCTTGCTTCTCTGCCTGCCCCCCCAAAGTAAAGCCCTACACAACTAGAAGACCCAAACGCCCGAAGTCTAAACCCGACACCCCAACCGTCAATCCCCGAAACTCGCAAATGCCCAAGGTCTAAACCCTCAACCCCAAACCCCTCTAAGCCCCCGAACCCCGAACTCCAAACCCCCAACCCCAAACCCCAAGCCCCAAACCCCAAACCCCAAACCCCCAAACCCCCAAACCCCCAAACCCCCAAACCCCCCAAACCCCCCAAACCCCAAACCAAACTCCCTAAAGCCGCTCCAGCACCCGCCTAGAATCCCAAAAGCCCCCCCTAGAACCCCCAAAAGCCTTAGATCCTCCTCTCGCCAAAGCCTCTTCTTCCTCGCCACGTGCAGGTGGGAGACTCCATCAACGTGTGGGGCCGGACGGTGGGGTACTTAGACGAGCAGTGAAACCCTAAACCCTAACCCTAAACCCTAAACCCTGAACCCTAAACCCTAAACCCTAAACCCTAAACCCTAAGCCCTAAGCCCTAAACCCTAAACCCTGAACCCTAAACCCCAAACCCTAAACGACAGGCCCTGGAAGCACATAGGGTTTCATGATGATGGCTTAGAGCATGTGCAGAATATCTGTTAGATGTATCTGTGTGTGTAGTGTATGTAAGGCATGTCGTGTGTGTAAGGTGCGCAATGTATTGCAGTGTACGTAATGTACGCAATGCCTGCAATGTATGTAATGTATGTAATGTACGTAATGTATGTAATGTATGTAATGTACGTAATGTATGTAATGTATGTAATGTATGTAATGTATGTAATGTATGTAATGTATGTAATGTATGTAATGTATGTAATGTATGTAATGTATGTAATGTATGTAATGTATGTAATGTATGTAATGTATGTAATGTATGTAATGTATGTAATGTATGTAATGTATGTAATGTATGTAATGTATGTAATGTGTATGTAATGTATGTGTAATGCATGTAATGTGTAATGCATGTAATGTGTAATGTATGTAATGTGTGATGTAATGTAATGTAATGTATGTAATGTATGTAATGTATGTAATGTATGTAATGTATGTAATGTATGTAATGTATGTAATGTATGTAATGTATGTAATGTATGTAATGTATGTAATGTATGTAATGTATGTAATGTATGTAATGTATGGAATGTATGGAATGTATGTAATGTATGTAATGTATGTAATGTATGTAGTGAATGTAACGCAATGTAACGCAATGTAACGCAATGTAACGTAATGTAATTTAAATATCAAGGTAGGCCAACTGTAATGTATTGCTTCGTGTATGTGTGGCAGGTAGTGTATTCAGGCTGATTCCGCGCTCAGATGCCCAGTTCGGCAGCCTTACAACAAGCTCTCAACTCCCACACGAAGGCCCCTACAAGGTTGCCGGGTGAAATCTGCAAGAGTTGAGACCCTTAAATCCTAACCCCCACTACACCTTGACCCAGGGAATCTTCCGCAAACCTCTTTAAAACCCTAAACCCGAAGCCTGAAATCAGGGTTTAGGGATACGTGTGGTTCGGGGCTTTGAGACCCTAAACCCTAAACCCTAAACCCTAAACCCTAAACCCTAAACCCTAAACCCTAAACCCTAACCCCTAAACCCTAAACCCATGGCATCATGGGGCCAAGGGTGTAGGACCACCTCCGATGCCCCCGCAAGCCAGGTGGTACTTTGGGACTGCGACGATTTCACCCGGAGCTTCTACAAGGATTACCTGGGCTTCTCTGCTGAAGCAGTGGCAAAACTGCTATTTGCTTAAGAACCGCAAAGGGATAAGGAAGAACATTTGCATTTTTTCGGTGATCTTCAGCAATTAGTAGAAAGGGGCTTGCGAGGCTTGGGATTTTGGGGTTCAGGGAAATGCGCGGGTCGACCCAAATCATTCCAGTCTGGTCATTTCAGGTACCCGAACTACCGAATGTGAGGCGCATACCCTAGAACCCGGAACCCAGGGTAGGCCCTTACACCCCTTTTTTAGGGTTTAGTTTCGTTTATCAACCCTTTAAAACAAAAAGAGCACCCTTTCAATTCCTAGGTTGCTCTCTTGTCGAGTACCATAGAAGCCGAAAAGGGCCGAAAAGGGCCAACGGCCTGGGGCCAACCCTCATGTAGTGGTTTCCGAAATTAGGGTTTAGGGTATAGGGTATAGGGTATAGGGTTTGGGGTGTGCCTTATTGGGGTCCTTGGTTTTTAGGGGATCCTACTACTTGGGGCCCTGTTCTCGTACACCCCGCATGTAAGGGCCCACCCGCAGGCTCCCCAAGCGATCAACCCGCAATTTTGGGTTTCCGGGTTTTTCAGCACGTGAGAGCCCTGGAGCAAGAAAGGGTTTAGGTAAATCTCCCACAGAAGGGAGGAACCCTAAACCCTAAACCCTAAACCCTAACCCTAAACCCTAAACAAGGGTTGGTAGAGGCCAGTGCTTTCAGTGTTTTGGGCCTTTGCTTTGGCTCGCCCGAACTCTTCGGGTTCAGGGTTTCGGGCGCCCTCCTCCTAGGACCCGGAGTAGGGTTTAGGGTTTAGGGTTCAGGGTTTAGGGTTTAGGGGTTTAGGGTTTAGGGTTTAGGGTTTAGGGTTTATAAGGGTTTAGGCAAATATACATATATGTATATAGAGAGAGAAAGAGAGAAAGAGAGAGAGAGAGAGAGAGATAGAGCGGCACCTCATAAAAACAGGAACTCCCAGAGGTACCCACGCAGAGAGAGCTACCCAAAGCCCCAAACCCCAAACCCTAAACCCCAAACCTACACCCTAAATCCTAAGCCCTAAGCCCTAAACCCTAAATCCTAAGCCCTAAACCCTAAACCCTAAACCCTAAACCCTAAACCCTAAACCCTAAACCCTAAACCCTAAACCCTAAACCCTAAACCCTAAACCCTAAACCCTAAACCCTACCCTGAAAGGGAGTGGGGCTAAACTGGGGCAGCACTGGACGTGGGGTGACGCGCAGAGCGCCCCCTCAACCCCGAAGCTGGGTTTCGGGTTGAAAAGGGTTCGGGGTTTGGGGTTTAGGGTTTAGGGTTTAGGGTTTAGGGTTTAGGGTTTAGGGTTAGAGTCAACATCAGCATTGCGGCTTCTAGATGCTATGGCCTAAGCCCCCTATTCAGTCGTCCGAAAGCGGGTCACATGTAAAAAGGCTGTAGGGGAACCCTAAACCCTAAACCCTAAACCCTAAACCCTAAACCCTAAACCCTAAACCCTAAACCCTAAACCCTAAACCCTAAACCCTAAACCCTAAACCATAAACCATAAACCCTAAACCCCGCTGCGCTGTGGCAAAAAAAAAACCCTAAACCCTAAACCCTAAAACCTAAACCCTAAACCCTAAACCCTGAAGCCTGAACCCTGAACCCTAAACCCTAAACCCTAAACCTAAACCCTCACCCGTTTAGGGTATAGCCAGCGGCCCCGTGCTGTCGTCCTAGGCCCAAACCGTCGGTAGTGCAGTGAGCCTTGGCCGGCGTGCAAGTGTGAGCGTCGAAACCCCAAACCCAAAACCCTGAACCCTAAACCCTAACCCCTAAACCACCCCAATATGGCTGCAGCTCGGGCTGCTGGTGACTCTGGAGGTGAGAAGACACCACTTGAGACTCCTCTGCCAGCTGATGGCGACACGGAAAGGACAGGATTGAAGGACACCGTGGGTGACGTTCCAGAAGTCCGGGGCATTTGGGACGCTTGGGAGGAGAACGCGTATGTCTATTCGCGCAAGATGGTGTTTGACTGGAATTTTGCTGGCGACCCAGAGGAGCAAGAGGGCAGAACGTGCGCCGCACATGCGTGCATGGGTTTCATACGAGCAACCCTGAGAAGGCACGGGACAGACAGCTCCAGCTCCTTGCTGAATGTGGACAACGCCATCGACTTGCTTGAGAGGTCGGAGGAGTCAATGAAGTCGAAGTCAAAGAAGTCAAAGGAGTCAAAGGAGTCATTGGAGCCAAAGGAGGGTGCAAATCCATTGGAGGGGGAGGGCACTAGGTCGATGCGCTTTTTGCAATTTGCCTGTGAGAGCTGGGCTTTTTGCAGGGAGCTGTTTGACTTGAAGCTGCGCCCGCAGAAGCTGCTCCGGGGCCATCATCCCCTGGAAGTCTTTCACAAGCACGGGGGATTTCTCATCAGCATTAAGTTCACCGAAGAGCAAGGAGCTGCTTTCGGGCGCTTTGCCAGTCGCCCCCTGGCAGAAGAGGACTCGGTGTTGAGGCCGGAGGACGTCCCTGAAGCCACCGACCAGACTCCGCAGGTAGGTGGCCACGCCATGCTTGCTGTATCCCCCCCCTGGGAATTTTTTTTTTTTTTTAATGTTAGTTTTATTAAACCCTAAACCCTAAACCCTAAACCCTAAACCCGAAATTTAACATGTTAGTTTTATTAAGGTTCTAAGGGGAGTATAGGTTGTGGCCTGAAGACTTATGGAAAGACAGCTCACGACGGACTGTACCATGTATGTGAAGAACTCGTGGGGTCCGGACTGCGGAGACCACGGCTACATCAGGGTCGACTGGGAAGCCCTGCAGAAGTTCAAAGATCATGATTTCGTCGTGCTTGTTCGGAAAGAGCGCGCCAAACAAAAGAAGCAGAAGCAAGATGCTCCCGAAGCACCAGGCGGCGCTCTTCAGTCTGGACCCCGAGAATGCGGAGCTTCGACAAAGCTGAAGGATCAGAAAACCTCTTCGCCGGTACACCGCAATGTGTGGATGGAAGCACCTGATGTCAACTGATCCCGGCCATCCGGTTCCCCGCCAGTCTGTCTCACCCTGTCCGCACCCAAGTATCACTTTCTGTTGAGACCAGAAAGGCATGAGTCGCCGTAGGCAGTAGGCCTTGCAGACATGGAATTCCTCGCCCGGGTTGTCCGAGTGTGAGCGATTGAACCCAGGCCCTGAACCACAGGCGGAGGGTTCAAAGTTTTGTCCTGGGGTTTCCTCAGCCTCCCATCAAAGAGAGGACCAGGACCAGCGCAGTGATTGCAGGCCCTTATTTCCTTTTTTTAGGGTTGGCCTTAAAACCAAAAAGGACACCCTTTTTATTCCTAGGTTACTCCTGGGTCTAGCCTCTCCTCCCAGGCATCGACCAGGCCTCAACACGAATCGACGTCTCCGAGACTGGGCTGATATTCCTGGGGTTTAGGGTTTAGGGTTTAGGGCTTAGGGTTTAGGGTTTAGGGTTTCTATGGCTGAGTGCGCCCTTTCCTTGTTCTAATATAGGGCTACAAAGTAGCTGCAAAGCAGTTTAGTGTTTTGGGTTTAAGGTTTTGGTCACTGAGTGCTACCCTTTCCTCATGATGGCATGGTAGCTGGGCTACCAAGTAGTTTAAATGGCCACGAGAACATGAACATTCAGTGAATAGACGTTCTAGTTTTTTGCGATGACGTCATCATGTCGGTTCCTGACTATGGAAACATAGTCCCTTGTACCAGACGAAGGACATGTACATATGTATATGCAAAAGATTGTAAATAAAACACATAAATAGATAAATATAAATACAGAATTAGATAAATACACAAATAAGTAAAAACACGTAATGAAAAAACACATAGATACCGTATATCTATCTATCTATCTATATATGAGCGACCACTTTTATTGCCTTGCAGGAGGTTTCTTGTGGCGGAGATCAAAATCCACGTTCATGCCTAAAACCTCGGAAAGCGATAGGCCCCCCCCAAAAGCGATACCCTCAATCTTGAATCTAGTAGTCGTTCTGCAGAAATGTCATGATTTCGTGGTTGGGTCTTATTCCAGAGTGATACTCAAAGCGATACCCCTACGATACCCATTTTGCCACCCGAAGAGCTGGGCAAAGGCCGTGGCCCCAGGTTGAGGGTTCGAAGTTTAGGATTTGGATTTCTGATTCGAGCAGCGGGGGCTCCAGTTCCTAGAAAAGGAGCACTCTCACTTTTAGTCTATAGGTCCTAAAGAAAGGAAACGGGTTTAGGAATTCAGGTGTATTTAGGGGAGGGTTCCAGGTTTAGGATCTCATAAGCAGTAAAGCGATAGGTTTTCGTAGTAGCATTGAGCCAAAGTCCCATAAAGCGATAAGCCCCCCCCCCCAAAAGCGATACCCCACTATTTGTTTATTAGCATTTACATAAGATTTTTTGCGGCTGTTCATATATATATATATATATATATATCCTGATTATGGTATCGTTTCCTTGTTATGTTTTTAATGTCAACTACCATGACATGGCCAATTAAACACTTACCTCAAACGCCTCAACAGCAACACAGGAGAAGCCGCTGACGCACGCCAAGCTCCATCCGCCACCCCACTGCGGCGTGGGTAAGGACCGGTCTTTTTTCCGTGCTTGAACCCTAAACCCCAAACCCTAAACCCAGAGAGCCTGATAACCCGAATCCTCAAACCAAGAAGAACCAAGGAACGGTTTGTGACGTTGTTAGGGGTATAGTCGGCCCCAAATGCCCCCGTCCTGATGAACCGCCCGCTCCGGGATGCCTCATGGCTAGGGGGACTAGGGGGGCTCCCATTCCAATTAAGAAAGTAGGAAACCTAAACCCTAAACCCTAAACCCTAAAAAAGAGCAAACTTCAGCACGTGGCCGAGAGGGGATTGGAGCTTGGGTGCCTGCTTTGTGCTGGCCACACACACAGCCCGAGGCATTGGCGGATTTAGGGTTTAGGGCTCCGGCCCAAGAAGGTTTAGGGTTTAGGGTTTAGGGTTTAGGGTTTAGGGTTTAGGGTTTAGGGTTTAGGGTTTAGGGTTTAGGGTTTAGGGTCTGTCTGGGGTTTAGGGTTTAGGGTAGTGAGTTTGTGACGCCTTTTGTTGATAGTTTCCTGTAGACATGCAGGGCCTTGAAGTCTGGCAATGTCCTGCTTCCCAGCTGATCGGAGCAGAGTCTAATTTCAAAAAAGGGTTTAGGGAATAGAGTTTAGGGTTGAGGGTTTAAGGTTTAGGGTTTAGGGTTCAGGGTTTAGGGTTTAGGGTGACACCAACTCCATCCTAAGGGCTTGGAGCTCAGTCGCGGGTTCAAAGAGGGCTTGTCTAGGGCTCCAGGCAAGGAAGGTCAAGGGACTACAGGAGGGACCCTAAACCCTAAACCCTAAACCCTAAACCCTAAACCCTAAACCCTAAACCCTAAACCCTAAACCTTAAACCCTAAACCTTAAACCCTAGACCCTAAACCCTAAACCCTAAACCCTAAGACCTTCGGGTTATTTGGGTTCCGTCAAGGGGCTACTTAGGTATATAGGGACTCCATATCGTATACACGGGAGTTGCATAGGGGAAGAAGATGAAGGGTCCCTTCTGGGGGTCCTTCCTTATACTCCCAGCCCTAAACCCTCAACCCTCAACCCTCAACCCTCAACCCTCAACCCTCAACCCTGAACCCTGAACCCTGAACCCTGAACCCTAAACCCTAAACCCTAAACCCTAAACCCTAAACCCTAAACCCTAAACCCTAAACCCTAAACCCTAAACCCTAAACCCTAAACCCTAAACCCTAAACCCTAAACCCAAGCTCTCAGCCCTAAGCCCTGGCATGGCCCGGAAAAGAAGGGTTGGTAGCGCCTTGGCAAGGAGGAGGATTCCTTGCTGAATTGCAGCATGATCCAGCCCAAGCCGCCCAAGGCCACGGCCGCGGAGGGCGTAGGGTTTTGGGTTTAGGGTTTAGGGCTTAGGGCTTAGGGGGTTTAGGGGGTTGAGGGTTTAGGGGTGAAGGGGTGAAGGGTTCAGGGTTTGGGGGTTTCGGGGTTCAGGGCCTGTTGGTAAAAGGGTTTGGGGTTCAGGGTTTGGGATTTTGAAAAAAGGGTTTGTGGTTTAGGGTTTAGGGTTGAGTTTGCAGAAGCTCGCCACTCCAGCCCACCAGCCGAAGTTAGCATAACCAAACTCACCCGCAAGACCCGTTCAAATGAAATAGGCACTCTTGTACCACCCGTGGAGATTGACCCGGAGCAAACTGACACTCTCAGACCTCTAAACCCTAAACCCTAAACCCTAAACCCTAAACCCTAAACCCTAAACCCTAAACCCTAAACCCTAAACCCTAAACCCTAAACCCTAAACCCTAAACCCTAAACCCTAAACCCTAAACCCTAAACCCCTAAACCCTAAACCCCTAAACCCCTAAAACCCTAAACCCTAAACCCTAAACCCTAAACCCTTCCGCACCTCCGGCCCCTGGAGGTTGACTTGGAGCGAATGATGAAGCTCACTGGGGAAGTCTTGCGCGACTTGGGCGCAAGAACAGATCTGTCAGCGGGTTTAGGGTTTAGGATTTAGGGTTTAGGGTTTAGGGTTTACGACCATAAGCTTTAAAACCTAAACGAAATGTCGGCTTTGTTCCAAGCCAGCGCTTCCACTTGCTAAGCTCAGGCGACGTGGCAGTGCTTTTTGGCCTTGCGGGGGGTTGAAGAAAAACTAGGGCCCCGGGCACCCCAAAACTAGAAGGGTTTAGGGTTTAGGGTTTAGGGTTTAGGGTTTAGGGTTTGGGGTTTAGGGCTTTGCTTATGACTATCCTGGAGAGACCTCAAGAGGGACCCATCCTTTGATCAACCCCCTTGTGTCCTACATGCCCCGCGGCATGGCTCAGCCCTAAACCCTAAACCCTAAATCCTAAATCCTAAACCCTAAACCCTAAACCCTAAACCCTAAACCCTAAACCCTAAACCCAGGTTTCGAGTGCAAGATGATCAACGGGGAGCCTGAAGATGAATTGCGCCGCTTAGTCATCGCCTACTACGCGGCCGATGGCGACATCGCGGTCTTCGAGGTCGGGGTTTAGGGTTGAGGGCTTAGGGTTTAGGGTTTAGGGTTTAGGGGTTTAGGGTTTAGGGTTTAGGGTTCAGGGTTTCGGGTTTAGGGTTTAGGGTTTAGGGTTTAGGGTGAGGTCGGTTGGGGGAAGGTCTCTTTTTGGCACCTGGGTGCTTGCAAGCCCTTTTGACTAGTATTCCCTAGACTTCCCTTTAATAGAACCCAACGTGCAAACCCTACATACCAAGTCAAACGGGCTCCCAAGTATGTTTTAGGGTTTACCGGGGTTCGTCTTCCATATGGCCACTTCTCCAGAATATGGTCCCTTTTGGGTTCCTTACTAAAACGCGGCTCCTATTCTTCAGGGTGCCCAAAGAGGGACCACAATGGTTTAGGGTTACCGGGTTTTTAGGGTTTAGGGTTAGTCTTCCAGATCATGTGCTTGATGGCTCACGTAGTGCGATTTTCCGCAGCAGTTCGCGTTGGTAGCGGAAGTTCGCAGGGCAAAGGCGAAGTTGGGTGTCCAGGTAGTTTCATGCCCCCGAAACCCTAAACCCTAGCCCTAAACCCTAAACCCTAAACCCTAAACCCTAAACCCTAAACCCCAAACGCAAAGCCTTGGAGACTTCGGAGTGGTCGTAGAGAGGCAAGCCCTCCCTTGCCAAAGTGACATGAAACAGGGTTTAGGGTGTAGGGTTTAGGGTTAAGGGTTTAGGGTTTAGGGTTTAGGGTGTAGGGTTTAGGGTTGAGGGTTTAGGGTTCTGTTATTGGTGAGCGTGTATAAGGTTCCTTTTTAATATTGGTGAGTGTATGTATTGGGTGTCCTTGCGGGGAGACAAAGGAATAGAAACCCTGCTTCACATGTTTTTTTGTTCTTTGGCTACTCGTTCGTTGTTTTCTTGGTAGCCCAGTGGCGCCCTTTCCCTTTTTCGGGTCAAGGTTCCAACAAGTAATTTTTTTTTTGGGGGGGGGGGGGGGGGGGGGGGGGGGGGGGGTGCCTACTTGGAGGTTCATGGGTAGTTCTAACCTTAGTTAAAAGTCTACTTATGACCTACTTAGGCGACTTAGGGGGGCTTAAAAGTACTTACAAAGTTGGGGTCGCAAGTCCTCTGAACCTCCAAGTAGATCCTACACGCATGTCCGGGTGTGTTTTGGCCCTTCGGCTCAAAAGTTGCAGGCTTTGTGTGAAGAAGGTCGCCTGACTTACAGCCATGTTTTGTGCTTGTTGCGCCGCCGGCGACGGGAAACTTAGTAGCAGAGCAAGCAACCTTTAACTTTTTTGGGGTTTAGGGTTTAGGGTTTTGGGTTTAGGGTTTATGGTTTAGGGTATCATGTTCCCTTTATCTTCCCAAATGTTAACATTCAGTTCCCGAAGGATGCTGGACAACCAAGTCTCTCAGGGAGTATATAGAGTTTACCTGAGGTTCCGAATGTAGTATGTTTGGCGCAGTATACTACGACCCTAAACCCTAAACCCTAAACCCTAAACCCTAAACCCTAAACCCTAAACCCTAAACCCTAAACCCTAAACCCTAAACCCTAAACCCTAAACCCTAAACCCTAAACCCTAAACCCTAAACCCTAAACCCTAAACCCTAAGCCCTAAGCCCTAAACCCTAAACCCTAAACCCTAAACCCGAAACCCGAAACCCTAAACCCTAAACCCTACCCTAAACCCTAAAACCCTAAAGCCCTAAAACCCGAAAATCCTAAACCCTAAAGCCCTAAACCCTAATCCCGAAACCCCAAACCCCTATCACTAAGGAACGGTGCGGTCGAGGAGGTGCCGTCCGTGTTGACCCAGGAGAAAGTCTTCGACGAGGCCGACGAGCCTACGGTTCCGCGAGCGTTGCGCGAGGAGCCCGTAGCAGAGCCTTGAGTAATATAGTTTAGGGTTTAGGGTTTAGGGTTTAGGGTTTAGGGTTTAGGGTTTAGGGTTTAGGGCTTCTATAGGGGCCTTAATAATTAGAACACGGTTTTGGGGCGGGTTATGACAGCACAAGTATAAAGGGACCATAAGAGAAGAATAGTAGTAACAAATCCGACCCGTAGAGTACTTTAGTGCTGCCCCTTTTGCCACTTTTTTGGTGGGGTTTCTCCGTTTTCCTTTTTGAAAAAGTAGCCAGCAACAAAAGGCGCCCCCTTGTTGAAAAGATGTTTGCTGGGCTACCCAGGAGCCAGACGCGAAAGCACCGGAGCTTCAACCTGAGGCCGTGATGTTCCCCCACTATCCCCCTTCCATACTCCTTAGTAAGGCCTAATGATCCCGGAGGGGGGGGGCACCTAGGGTAGTACCCTCAACCCTAAACCCTAAACCCTAAACCCCCTATAGGTAGTAGGGGAAGCCCTGATGAGGCCGTGATCTTCACCTTCAAGTTGCCGGATGGGACGACCAAGGATCGTGGTCCCCCCTTAAATAGCCTTAATTAGGCCTAATTATCCCTAAATAGCCGTAGTTGGGGAGGGAACCTACGGGGGGTAGTATCCCTAAACCCTAAACTTTAAACCCTAAACCCTAAACCCTAAACCCTGAATAGTACAGAGGGGTGTAGTAGGGGAACTCATGACAAGGACGTCGCGATCGATGCGAAGCCCATGGGCTTTGACTTCTACAAGGCTTAGGGACTGGGTAGGTCACCTTTTTGACCTTTTTGGTTGTTTAGGGTTTAGGGTTTAGGGTTTAGGGTTTAGGGTTTAGAGGGTCTGCAGCCCCTTCTAGAAGGCCATTCCCTTGTCCATCAAAGCGGTGAAGCCAAATTCCTTGGCCGAGAGGGCCGGCGTCCAGGCCGGGTGGATGCTGACGCACGTGCAGGGGGAGGAAGCTCGGTGGTCCGGAATGGTACCCTTTGCGCTTTTTTATAAGTAACCAACCCCCCCCCAAAAAAAAAAGAAGAAGGTGCCCTTGTTATGAGATGGTTGCTGAGCTAGCAAGGAGATGCCCAACGACTTGAAGGAATCCATTCTCAAGCTCTCGCAGTGTGTGAAAGACCTAAAGAAGCAGGTGTGAGAGTAAATGCGCGGCTAAAGTTCCGGCACGGCCGAATGGTTTTTAACCGGGGCTCGGAAACTTCGAGACTAAGGTGTAGGGTTTAGGGTTCAGGGTTTAGGGTTTAGGGTTTATGGTTTCAGGGTTCGCGTGGGACCTCAGGCAAGCAGTTGACAAGAACCAACAGGTGCGAAGGGTCTTGCAGAGCCCTGGGCAGCTAGCTTTTTCCTTTAATGCCAATGTGTCTTCCGTGAGTGGGGTCTCGCTCGGGTTGACTTTAGAGGAGTCACGGTGAGTTCACGGCATCTCCACTCGGGGGGACGCGCAGAGGGAGACTGAGACGCACGAAGGATCCTCGTGGTACAACTGGCTAAGGTTGGGATGTTCCCCCTTATACAAACAGTCCTGAAGGGATTAACCCTAAACCCTAAGCCCTAAACCCTAAACCCTAAATCCTAAACCCTAAACCCTAAACCCTAAACCCTAAACCCCTAAATCCTTAATAGGGGGACATCCCAAGGCTGAATGCTTGCTCCTTCGCAGGAAGGAGCCAGCAAGAGAATCTGCACTGTCAATGCGCACTACCCTGCCGAAGGGTTTAGGGTTTAGGGTTTAGGGTGTAGGGTTTAGGGCTTAGGGTTTAGGGTTTAGGGTTTGGGGTTTAGGGTTTAGGGTTTAAGGAAGGGTTAGCCCTGAATGCCGGGGCCAGAGAGCTTAAACAATTGCCAGTACTCTCCCCTTACAGCCCCCCCCAAACCCAAACCCTAAACCCTAACATCTAACCTAGATAATTCTTGTAGAAGCTGCCAAGCATGTGCGCGGACCAATGTCTTGTTCATCGGCAACCCCAAGCTGAAAGCCTTCATAGGCCCTTACATGAGAGCGCCCTTTTGGGCCCCACGTCGCTGGATTATCGTCATGTTCGACGGCAGGCGGGGTCTGTGTGGCGTTGACGCCTGACACGCTTGCCGGGGGTTACGGGACTTTGCCCCGCCACTTAGCCCACGTACTCCTGAGGCTATGGTTCGAAGCCCTCAACCCTAAACCCTAAACCCTAAACCCTAAGCCCTAATTAAGTCCTAAACCCTAAACCCTAAACCTTCAACTGCCCGAAACCCGAAACCCTAAACCCCTCAACCCCTAAACCCCTAAACCCGAAGGCCCTCAACCCGAAAGTCGGCTACCCTCGGTCCCAAGAATGTGTGCCTGAAAGCCGAAGCCCTGAAACCCCCCCAATATACCGAGAAACACGTGAGAGAAGCG